CACGCTGCAATCCCTTCTCCTCCATTCTCCTCTTGGGATCTTGGGCACACACGCACACGCGCCCAGCGTGAGTTTTAAGCCACCGGGTCCGGGACGTGAACCGCGGTCGACTATGTGGGAGTCCAGCGACATAGTCATTATGCTAACTGCTGGTTCCCAACCCATTGGTCTGAGTTTTAAGCCACTGGGTCTGGGACTTGAACGGCAGGCTGCCACGTGGAAGTCCAGTGATGTAACCGCTATGCCATCTGCTGGCCTCCATGGAAGTGCATTTTAAAGGTTTATCAATAGCCTTTTTAGGGTAGAGGTTCGTAACAAAGCTTTCCTATACCTGGGCTTGTCAAGACCCATTGGGGTTGTGTAGATAAACTTTTCTTTTAACCTCTGTTTCCTTTTTTGAAACGGGAAGCAGTCAGGATCTGATAAGCATGGTGGTGTGTATATGGAACACAGTCCGCTAAGATGCCGGTGTCATGCCGGGAACCGTGGTGGTGTGTTTATGGGACACAGTCCGCTAAGATGCCGGTGTCATGCCGGGAACCGTGGTGGTGTGTTTATGGGACACAGTCCACTAAGATGCCGGTGTCATGCCGGGAACCGTGGTGGCGCTCCCAGGTGCAGCGCACTGACTGTGACTTTGCTCTCCCGCAGGTATGATTTTCAGTGAACGCGACCAGGAGCTGAGAGACTTGGGCTATCAGAAACATGCCTTTAATGTGCTTATCAGTAACCGCCTGGGCTACCACAGAGACGTGCCAGATACGAGGAGCGCAGCGTATGTGCCTTCCTGCTTACTGCCGGGGCTGTAGCACAGCCTCTCCGTGCCCGTGAAGGGGTCCCGAAGGCGGCACCATGCTTTGCGGTCAGACGTCCTTATTCTGCACATTAGCCAGTTTAGAGTTTTACTTGTGTTACACTTATTTTTAAGATTATTTTCTGGGGACTAGCAGTTAGCGTAATGGCTATGTTGCTGGACTCCCACGTAGTTGACCGCGGTTTGAGTCCTGGGCTTGGTTGCTTAAACTCACGCCGGGCACATGTGCGTGCGTGCCCAAGATCCGGAGAGGAGAATGGAGGAGAAGGGATTGTGGCGGCCATCCCCTCTGGGGGGTGATTTCTCACTTTCTGTCTCTCTGTCTCTCTCTGTCTTTCTGGCAAGTGCACGTGCCCTATAGCAAAAACCTCTCAAAAATAAATAAATAAATAACAAGATTATTTTCTGTATTCATGATAGAATGCATGCACGTGAGCGTGAAAGATAGACTACCCTTCCCAGCGTGTGGTCCCTGTGCTCCCCTCCTCCAGCCTCCAGCCTGTGATCCTGGGCACTTGCATGTCCACCCAGTGTGTTTCAGGCTGGCCAGGCTGGGCATTCATACTGTGGCCTCCATGTGGAACTCAGTTTCCCAAAGCGGCATTATGGCTGCACCCTAGAGCCGGCCCACGTGTGTGCTGGTGCTCTCGAAGCCACACGATCTGAGGGAGACTAGGTTCTAGAACCTGCTGTGCCTCCTTTGAAAGTTCAAGTCCAGTGGGAAAGAGGAGGGGGTAATGATTAAGTAACCTGAGTGTGTTTAAGTGTTTATTGGATTCATGGCAAAGGAAATTAAAGTCAGTGAAGAATTTTACTCTAAGTCCTCGTGTGTGTTTCATTATTTTTGCTTCTCCAAAGGCCTGTCATTCATGTGGCCAGGCAGTCATTCCACAAACAGACCGCCGCTGAGCACGTTCTATTTGCCGCACCCTGTACTAGGGCCTGGAAGTAACAGTCGAGTAAGACAGTCCCTGGATTGGTAGGGCTCAGCTGCCAGTGGGGGTGGGAGGAAAGATAAGCAGTCATGGTGGCAGCTCACACCCAAGGGCTACGCTAGGACTTGGTGACCTGGGACCTGCAGCCAGGGGAGCTTTGTGGAGGCGCTGCGGTGATGCCGCGAGGCTCCCCCTGTGCTGGGACAGCTCGGGAGACCACTGGAGCGGGAGGCAGGTGGGCCAGGGCGCCTGCGCTGGTTCACTTTGGCCCCAGTAGTGGGGGGCTGGAGGTGGGCGGTGTCCAGACACTGGAGGGTTTCTATGGCGTGCCCTAGAATTTCGAATTCTGATTTATTCTTCAAGGTAGTAGTTTTTTTGTTGTCACTTAAAGCCACGTAGCTAACCCTTTTTATCACATAAGTGCTTATGTGGCAGCACCTCGGTTAGCTTGATACATGCTAGTTTACTCAAATCTTTTTCTGTTATCCGGCAACAAATCAAAGTTTCAGATAGAGTACCACACAGCCATCCGCCACCTGACCACCTCTTAGCCAGCCGCGGGCGCGTGCAGGATGTCGGTCCCATCGTGCCCCCGTCTGGGCCGGTAGCCCAGCGGCCCCCAGCAGTGTGACAGTCTGTACTCACACACCTAACCAGGTTTGTGAGTACCCTCTGTGATGTCCCCACTGCAGCCACTTCTTAGAACGAACCCCCACCACGAAGTGGCGCACGGCTGCGGTTCTGTTCCTCAGGAAACCTCATTGAGGGGACAGTGAGGAGGGCAGATCCTGGTGCCGCCTCCGGCGTGCGACTTCAGCAAATGCAGATGCAGTGCATGTTCTTACGTCCCCGCTCTACCAAAAAAGGGGAAATAAAGTTTTAAAAATGTTAACCTAAAAATAAGCAAGGTAGCAGGTATAGGAGAGAGAAATTAAAATGTAAAACTCTTGAGAAAGAATATTATTTTCCTGATTGTTTTTAAAGAAACTATTTCCTAAGACAAGCTGAACAAAAGGTGGTAATTGTACAGCAAATAATAACCTAAAGACACTTTGGCTTTGTAAGCCACCAGAATCTTCTCGTCTCTGTCTAGGTGTAAAGGAAAGTCTTATCCAGCCGACCTGCCCGTTGCCAGCGTTGTTATCTGTTTCTACAATGAAGCCTTTTCTGCCTTGCTTCGGACAGTGCACAGTGTCATAGACCGCACGCCCGCGCGCCTTCTCCACGAGGTCATCCTGGTAGATGACGACAGTGACTTCGGTAAGCAGTGCTGTGAGTGCTGTTCACAGTGGCGCCCCAGGTCGCAGACGGGCCCGCGTGGTGTAACGGGAGCTGAGTGGACTCGACAGGTAGAGGCAGGGTAATGCCGAAGAGGTGCTTTGTGTGGTCCGCAGGCAGTGCTCCCACGTGTGGCCCTTGTTTTTCCCTTGGCTCACTTTGCTCAGAAATCTTTTTCTTTTGAAATAGCTGGATTGACACAAAGTAGCGTCGGTACTGTTTCCCCAGTTTCCCCGTTGGTCACGGACATAATTATAAGGGTGTATCAGAACCAGGCCTTCTACCCGGGCACGTGTGTGTATAGTCCTTTGTCATTTTATTTCTGCAGTCCACCTCCAGGCTCTCCATCGCCCCCGGAGATCGCTCTCCCACCCCCCTTACATATTCATACACCCTCTGTCTCCCTACCTCCCTCACCCCTGGCAACTGCTAGTCTATGATTTTGTTTTCATCTCCCATTTTGTCATGTCAAGAGTATTATGTAAATGGAATCATGCAGTAAGTGATGTTCTATGATTTTTTTTTTTTACTTGGCTTAATGTCTTGGCTTACATTTAATTTATCTACTAAGCCTGCTATACTCATTGTCCACAGATAAAGTGAATTGTATTCTGATAGCTCTTAGATCTCTGAATGCTAATTTTTTAATAGAATAATTTTTACATTTTTATTCATTCTTTCATTTACTAGAGAGAAATTTTTGCTATAGGGTACCAGAGAGACAGAGACACAGAATGTGAGAAATCACCCTCCCCTCAGAGGGGATGACCCCGCTGCAATCCCTTCTCCTCCATTTTCCTCTCAGGAACTTGGGCACGCACGCACACGTGCCCCATGTGATTTTTTAAGCCACCAGGTCCGGGATTTGAACCATGGTTGACTACATGGGAGTCCAGCAACATAACTTTTATGTCATCTGCTGGTCCCTATTTAGTTTTTAAATTTGCTATAGAGCACATGTGTTCACCAGAGAGAGAGAAAGAAAAAAAGCCACCTGACCTGGGACTCAAACTGTGGTCGGCTACATGAAAGTCCAGCATCCTAACCACCACGCCACCTACCAGCCCCAAATGTTTCTACTTTTGATTCCCTACATATCGTATATGCTCTTCTTTGATTCAGCATAGATTCTTATTAATAGTGCCTTCTCAGGGGCTGGCAGGTGGCATGCTGTGCTTTCTCACTTTCCCTTTCTCTCTCTGGTCAAATTTGGAAGTAATAATAATAAATAAAAGAACCATTTTTTTTTTTTTAATAAAAGAGTGCCTTTTTGTACACCAACAGGACAAAAGACTTTTTATTTACACTATTCACTCAGCTCTCAGCGACCTTGTAGGAAAGGCTCAAAGTTCATTTTCCAGAGGAAGGAGTCATGTAACTTGTTCATGATCCCCTCGCTGTTAAGAGTTGGAGTTGAAATTAGACACCTGGTTCACATGGCTCTGGGCCTTCTACTCCTTGTTGCAGCAGCTGCAGAAATGCAGTCCCGAGGCGTGTGCCGTGAGGTTTTGGCACACTCGGGCACCTCAGGCATGCGCAGCAGAGTTGGCTTACCCGTCTACGGGAATGTGCAGAGTGAGGAGGTGCACGCTGAGCCGACGGGGGCACAGTTCCCAAGCATCGTGGCAGATACTAAAACTTCACAGGAAAGGATTTAGGAATAACAGAAAACAAAAGTTACCCTCTCAAAAATGAGTGATTAAAATCAAACAAGTACACCTGAGTCAGACTAAGTACAGGATTGGATAAATGCCAGAACTTACGGTGGAGTTTTGTCTTTTAATCACGTGTATTTTGTTTTTCACTTCGTGCTATTTTATTTGAAAGGAAGAAGCCATGATAAGTTACACCAGTGGTTTGTATGCTATGGGAAGTATTGCTGCTTGTTGTCCAACACGACCTTTGAGGTTATTACAAAATTCAAATTTGAATTGACCTAGAATTTATTCTAAAAATTAGTGCCATGGGAAGTAAGGTGTTAAGTTAATAACAGTACATACTCACAGCTGCTGCTCATGTCCTTGTCGGAGTGAATAGAAGTGGGTTCTTAACTACTCTGAGATGGAGCAGGCCTTCCTGGATTACTTTGAAACAAGGGCATGGTGTCACCCTCCTGTGTCAGGTGCGTGCCGGGAGCTGGCTGCCCTGCGCTCACGAGGCTCGCTGCACAGCTGTGTGCAAAGCAGGGAGGGGACTGCTCCAGCTTTTAACCTTTGCTTCTTCCCTCTCTTCCTACAGATAAGCTGCAGTATTCTCTTTAAATAAAATAGATTCTGCTTGATCATTTGTCGTAGATTTAACACGTACCAGATGCAACTTTCGAGGAGCTATAAAATGTCTTCATGCCTGTCTTACAGGGTTTGAATAATTGTGGAATTCTCTGCTTTCAGATGATTTGAAAGGAGAACTAGATGAATACGTCCAAAAATACCTTCCTGGGAAAATTAAAGTAATAAGAAATAAGAAGCGCGAGGGGTTGATTAGAGGAAGGATGATCGGAGCAGCCCACGCTACAGGTGTGCCTTCCTGTTGGCTTTCCTCTGGGGCATAGGCCCTGGTCCTGGAGCCTTTGCTGATTCTGCAGAGATCTCAGCGTCGTTGCCTGCAGGAGACACGAGGCATTTTCCATTTAGGAAAGGCCTTTTCATAATTCTGAGCCCACTGCCCCAAAGAGAGAGGAGCCCTTTCTGGTTACCGCCCCTCTGCTGGGTTTTGTATCTTACTTTGTTTCTATAAGCAGAAATGTGCAAACAGAGTGTACCTGCCTGTGTTTAAGTGTGTGAGTGCAGAACCTTAGCTGCATGCCGCCCAGCTGTTGGAGCTGTACCCCTCCCCCTGGGTGTGGATGGAGTGCAGGCTCTGGCAGTATGCCTCGGGACTGCAGTCACGAGTGGGCAGCAGGTCGACTCGTAACCATGAAAGGCATGGTCTTCAAAACTCTCCCTGACTCTGAACCCACAGGGAGGATGTATCGTTGAGTACCTTTCCACCGTACTACAACAGCTTGGGAAAGTCACTGTTGAGGCTCAGTATGAGCAAGTGCAATCTCATTCCTTTCAGTTAAATTGTTAAATTGGCATTAATTGGAAAAGCAACTTTTAGAATAAAAAAAAAAAAAAAGGCAACTCTGCATGTGTTTTTCCTTGAAAGAAGCTGGTCAGATTGATCACACGGATGCTAAACCGCATCCGTGTGGACCCTGCAGTAAGTGCCCACTGGAGGGCTGGGTGCCACCACACTCTCACCACGATCATTTACAGATACGGCTCAGTGGCCCTGAGGGCATCACCACGATCATTTACAGATACGGCTCAGTAGCCCTGAAGGCAATAAAGAAATTTGAATTGAAAAAAAAAAAAAATCCCTGCTCACATTTTCAAGAAAAGTTAAAAACACAAGATAAAATTGTTATGATTTCTGTTTTGCTAACAAACAATGGTGTGTGCCCCACTGGCCGTGAGACCCTGAAAGCCAAGAGGGGAGAATTAGGAAAGGTGGGAAGTGCAAGCAAAAGGAAGGAGCACAGTGCTGGCCAGAGGGTGCGTGCATTAGCCAGGAGGTACCCCGTGGGGTGTGGTGGTGCCAGCCAGAGGGTGCGTGCATTAGCCAGGAGGTACCCCGTGGGTGTGGTGGTGCCATGATCCCTTTCCCTCCATTTTTCTCTCGGGATTTGGGGCACATGTGCTCTTTGTGTTTTTCACGTTGCTGGGGCCAGGATTTGAAAGGCAGTCAGTCATGTGGGAACCAGGTCCCTTAATCCCTGTGCTACAGGCCCTACCTGCTGGTTAAGATAATTAAAATACAAACATTTGTGCCCAGCTGACCGCTGTCGTGAACCGAAAGGTCATGAGTCTCTCAGTGGCTGGCCATCTGAGGAGTTCATTGCCGTGAGGCTTTGAACCATTTCACTGGAGAGAATCTGAGTGGCCTGGATTTTTGCGACCACCGTGTGCACCCTTGCACATGTTCCTGGGTTAGAGCAGGGTTCTTGGCAGAGGGACTTCCCTTGTTGGGACCAGCAGATGGCCATGGTTATGGCATTGGATTCCCACCTGGTCAACTGCAGTTTGAGTCCCAGACCTGGGAGCATAAAACTCAGGCTGGGTGTGTGTGCATGTGTGTCCAAAATCCAAGAAGAGAATGGGGGAGAAGGGATTGAGGCGTGGCCATCCCTCCGGTGGTGAGTCTCGCTTTCTGTCTCTCTGTCCCTCTGTCTCTCTGGTGACTGCCCTCGCCCTGTAGCAAAAACCTCTCTTAAGAAAAGGACATGGGACCAGCAGTTAGTGTAATGGCTATGTCGCTGGACTCCCACGTAGTCGACCGTGGTTCGCGTCCCGGATCCAGTGGCTTAAAACTCACACCGGGCGTGTGTGTGTGTGCGTGCGTGCCCAAGATCCCGAGAGGAGAATGGAGAAGGGATTGCGGTGTGGCCATCCCCCTTGGGGGGTGATTTCTCGCTTTCTGTCTCTCTGTCTCTCTCTGTCTGGTGAGCGCACGCGCCCTATAGCGAAAAACCTCTCCAAAAAAAAAAAAGAAAAACGAAAAGGACTTCCCTTGTGTATGGCAGACAGTGACGTGGCGGCTTCTTGCTGGGCTGCAGGGTGGTGTGGTCTTCCGTGCCTCGGGAGTACCACACCATTAGGCCACACCACAGGGAGAGTCAGCGCACTCCTGAGCCTCTGCGTTGCCTCCCCAGGAGAAGTGCTCGTGTTCCTGGATAGCCACTGCGAGGTGAACGTGCTGTGGCTGCAGCCCCTGCTGGCTGCCATCCGCGAGGACCGGCGCACCGTGGTGTGCCCGGTGATCGACATCATCAGTGCTGACACGCTCGCCTACAGCTCGTCGCCTGCCGTGCGGGGCGGGTTCAACTGGGGCCTGCACTTCAAGTGGGACCTCGTGCCCCTTTCCGAGCTGGCGGGAGCAGGGGGAGCCACCGCACCAATAAAGTAAGACTCCGTGTTTGGAAACACCGTCAGCTCTTCTTTGCTTTTGTTTTGTTTTGTTTTGTTTGTTTTGTTTTGTTTGTTTGTTTTTTGAGAGTTTTTTGCTATAGGGCATGTGTGCTCTCCAGAAGACAGAGACAGAAAGCGAGAAGTCACCCCCCGGGGGTGGTCACACCACAATCCCTTCTCCATTCTCTCAGGATCTTGGACACGCTCCTGTCGTGAGTTTAAGCCACCAGGTCTGGGACTCGAACCACAGTCGACCATGTAGGAATCCAGCAACATAGCCATTATGCCATCTGCTGGTCCCAAATTCTTCTTTGTAAGGAGCAATAGTGTTGCCTTAATTTGTCCATGCAGAAGTCTTGAGTGCGTACTGAATTTTAGCTCTTCTGACTCCTAAGGAGAGATTTATAGCTGAGGAATTGTGACCTGAAGGATGTGTAGCTTTTGGAGGAAGACAGACAGGTCAACCCAGCGGCATCCTGGGATCTTGCCACGTGGGGTGCTCTGGGAGTCCCCAGGGCCTTGCTTATGTCGGACAGTGCCCCTGGCTTGTCGTCGGTTCTTCATTAGGGTGAGCACTGGTACACAGAACACTTACTCCATGGGAAGCCTTTTCTAGAGTTGGGGCTCTCAGGGTAGTCCTCCTAGTACAGCCCCTCAGCCGTAGGCCAGACTTTCTCTCAGTCCCATCCATGTTTCACACGGTCTCATGTTTCACATGTGTCTTGTGTTCTCTCCCCTTTTCTATTTTTGTTCTTTTTGAAATTTCTGTATTTTTTTATCTTTAACTTGTTAACATTTTTGGACCTGCTCTTCCTTTTAAACATCTTTTTTGTGACAAGTAACATATGCAAGAAGTACATGTAAAAGGTGTGTACGTGTATGCATATGTAAAGCTTACACTACACATATACACGCATGCAGTTGACTAAAGGGTTATACTCTGAGCACCAGCATAGCTACCCCAGGGCCAAGCAGCAACCCCCAAAGGCCTCCCGCACATCCCGGCTGGGTTCAGGGCCTGAGGCTGCAGGACGCTCTCCCCTCGCAGCACCCACCAGGCGGCTGCTCTGTTCCTCTGAGCAGTGGTTGGTTTTACCTGCTGTTTGCATTATGTAAGTAAAGCCGTGACCCATGGTCTTGTCTTGCTTCTTTTGCCCATCATTGATTTATTTTTTTTAAAGAATTTTTCATTTAATTATATTTATTATTATTACTAAGTTTGACCAGAGAGAGTCAGAGACAGAGAGAGATAGGAAGCTGCCAGGTCTGGGACTCAAACCGTGGTCAGCCATGTGGGAGTTGAGCCCCTGAACCTCCATACCACCTGCTGGCCCACTCAGTGGGTTGAACGTTCTTCCCTGCTGCAGTCCGTAGCTGCAGTTGGTGTGTCACTGCTGAGTAGCACCCTGTTCGAATATACCCAGTTCATCACCCAGCTTCCTGTGTGCGGGCGGGGCAGATGGGTTGTTTCCTTCGCTTTTTTCTCTTAAATGTTATAAACAGTGCTGTTAACATCCTTGTTTGTGACTTCTAGCTTAGAAGTGAGAGGTTGGATCATAAGTTTCCCTTTCTGCTACTTCAGTAGGTAATGATTTTCCCACAGATCAGGTGGCCTCTTGGTTCTTGTTCTCTTCCTTTCATCCAACCCAGACTGGAGGGGACGTTGATGGTCTTTGGCGTGTTCCAGGGTCCTGATGTGGCCTGCAGGCAGAGCAGGGTCCTCTTCTGCTGTCGAGCTTCTGTGTGGAATCTCTTGCAGTTGTTCAGAGGACTGAGGTCCGGGTAAGAGCTCACCCACCTCTCTGCTGCTGGCACCTCCTCCCCTCATGCCTCCTAGGGTGTGGGCCAGTCTGCCGCTCTGCACACCGGAGCAGGCCCTCTCTCAAAGGGCCTGCCCCATCTGGGACCAGTCACCTGGCTCCTGGTCCCAGTGACCTCAGGGCCTATGCTGGAGCAGACAGTGCTGTCTCAGTTTTCCCCTATTTCTTTCTGGCCTGTCATGTTCCTCCCCTTCCCCTGAAGGTGAAGTGTGTGTAGTTCAAAAAAGTATTTTGAAACTTTTTTCATTCCAAGAAGAAAGTATCCCAGATTTTGTGTTGTCGTTCTTAGTTTTTAGTTGCCAGGTTTTGCTCGTTTCATCATTTTCATGGATATTTATATTTCGTTGCTTAAGTTTTAGTATTTTAATCAGAAAGATATATTCAGTAACAGATCAACTTAGGATGGAACCACCTCCCATCTCTTTCCTCCCTATTCTCTCTTGTGTTTTGGGCCTGTGTCTTCCTGAGTTCTTGCTAATTGTCTTCCCGGCGTCAGCCAGCTTCAGGCCGTGCCCGCCGTCCTTCACCTCCTCGTGCTCTGTCTCCCGGGCTGGCGTGTGGTCATTTTCTGTGTGCCGTATCGGTCACGTTCCTCCTCCTACCGTCAGACTTTCTGTGGTCTTACATTTGTGCATGTGTGCCTTGCAGGCAGCTTTCATTTATATTTGATTTTATACCAGTGTGGAAGATAGTGTCTTTTAAGATTGTAGGAGCAGTGCTTCCGTTTCCTGTTTCATCCTGTCCTGTGCTCTTCCCCTGCTTGCCTTCTTTTGGACTGAGTCCAGATATTTTCTTACTCTGTTCCCAGATGCCATCACATTATTAAAAGTGATATATTCTTAGATACTGTGCTTTTAGGGTTTGTCTTAGAGAATATAACATATGTTTTTGTTTTTGTTTTTTTGAGAGGGATTTTTGTTACAGGGTGTGCGTGTTCGCTGGAAAGACAGAGACAGAGAAAGACAGAAGGCAAGAAATCACCCCCTGGGGAGATGGCCACGCTGCAGTCCCTTCTCCTCCATTCTCCTCTTGAGGTTTTGGGCATGCACACACATGTGCCCGGTGTGAATTTCAAGCCACCAGGTCCAGGACTTGAACCATAGTCAACTACGTGGGAGTCTAATGATGTAACCATTACACCATTTGCTGGTCCCCAGGATACTTTCTTTTTTCTTCTTCTTTTTTTTTTTATTTTTTTATTTTTTTTATTTTTGCTATAAGGGTGTGTATACTTGCCAGGAAAACAGAGAGACAGAAAGCAAAAAATCATCCCCCAAGGGGAACAACCATACTCCCTCAGCCACAATCCCTTCTCCATGCTCCTCTCAGGATCTTGGGCATGCACACGCACACTAGACGTGAGTTGAAGCTGCCGGATGTGGGACTCGGACTGTGGTCGACTGTGCATCCAACAACGTAACTGGTAATGCCATCTGCTGGTCCCCCCACATACCAAAGTGGAGTATAGACTGACACTTTCCCCCAGACAGTGCAAGATCCCAGGGTGTTCATACTCCGGCACCCCATCTCTGTCCTCTGGTTGATGGACCTGTTTTAAACCATCCTAGACCGCTTTGTAACCGCCGTTGATGCGGCTTCACCACCTTTCTCCTGTCACTCTGCTCTCCTGCTCTGTAGTCCATGGTTCAGACTGTGGTTGGCAGTGCAGCATCTGGCTCCCTTAACCTGCAGGGCAGCCCTGGGACCTCTTGTGATGGTGTCTCATTCTTCACCCAATTCTCAGCCTTGTCTTATCCTGAGTACCCTGCAGCTTAGTCTCTGCTCTGTCACTTTGTATTTGAAGTCACTGCACATTGGTTTCTGTAGTGGGTGTTTCTTTTCTTTCATGTGATTTTTATCTTCCTGATTGTCTTAACGGTTTGCTTGCTTGCTTGCTTATTTTTGCTCAGTACCCGACATTGTATGTGACAAGCTGGAAATACTCCTTTCTGGGCCAGCAGGTGGCATGATGGCTGAAGTGCTGGATTTCCAACTGGCCTAACACAACCGGCCAAATCGAACCGTAGGAGGCGTGTCAGGGCTCTCCTTGATGGGCCTTGGCCCACGTTCACCCCAGCGCTCTGCGAGGTTGTCAGAAGGAGTGGACATAATTCGGGTCAGCTAGAGTCTCTCAAAATGGTTATAAGAAGTAAAGTTCTTGTGATGCCCAGAAAGTAACCTCCATGTGCTGGACGCCCGGCATGTCCTTAGCAGCTTAGGGAATTAGTCATGTCGGCAGCCTGCTCGTCCCTGACGCTAAGGTACGCTCTGTAGAACGGATGAGTGATCTTGTTACTTTCTAACGCTGTGCCGAATTCTCTCAAACAGAAATTATAGGTAAGATAACCATGTTGAATTAGGCAAGATAACTGTGTTGAATTAGGTGTAATTACTTTCATTTTCTAGGTCACCCACAATGGCTGGAGGTCTGTTTGCCATGAACAGACAGTATTTCAGTGAACTTGGCCAGTATGACAGTGGCATGGATATCTGGGGAGGAGAAAATCTGGAAATATCATTTCGGGTAATATCTCTGCTTTTTGTTTTGCTTGTTCAGTTTCTGACTGTGTGTAGTTGAATATGCTTTCCATGCACGGTCTCGGGTTTCTGTGAGCTCAGTTACCGGCACTGAGAGAATCCCCGTGATGGACGCCGCCTCGCCACAGTCTGATACGGGAAGTACCCATTCAGAATGTCCAAGCACGTGAGAGGCCGTATGTCAGGTCGGGTCTTTGCAGGTGTACTGGCCCAGGATGACTACAAGGCGGTGTTCTGTGACCTTACAGCTGAAGGCCAGCCTGTGGCTTGCTGGTTACAGAGCCGGATGGGGGATCAGCAGATGGCCTAATGGTTATGTCACTGGACTCCCACGTAGTCTATCGCAGTTTGAATCCTGGACCCAGTGGTTTAAAAAACTCATGCCGGGCACGTGTGCATGTGTGCCCAAAATCCAGAGAGGTGGGGACCAGCAGTTAGCGTAATGGCTATGTCGCTGAACTCTCATGTAGCCGACTGCGGTTCAAGTCTTGGACCCAGTGGCTTAAAGTCACGCCAGCTGCGTGTGCGTGCGTGCCCAAGATGCCGAGAGGAGAATGGAGGAGAAGGGACTGCGGCGTGGCCATCCCCCCGGGGGATGATTTCTCGCTTTCTGTCTGTCTCTTTCTGTCTGGCGAGCGCATGCACCCTATAGCAGAAACCTCTCCAAAAAAAAAATCCTGAGAGGTGAATGGAGGAGAAAGGATTGCAGCAGCATGGCCATCCCCCCAGGGAGTGATTTCTCACTTTCTGTCTCTGTCTCTTTGGTGAATACACGTGCCCTATAGCAAAAAATCTTAAGGAAGTGAGCTGGATGCCACATGGTCGACCACACAGTTCGAGTCCTGGACCCTAGGGCTTGAGAAACATGCCCAGTGCATGTGCGTGGGTGCCCACAGTCCTGAAGGGAGGGAGGGAGAAGTGGATGAGAAGGGATGATAGCATGACCGCCCTGTGGGGGTGCTCCCCCATCTCTGGTAAGTGCACTTGTCCTCTAGCAAAAACAAAAATGTTTAAAGAATTTTAATGTTGAAAAGCATGATGTCATTCTTTTTTTTAGATCAAATAACCAAGTCTTACAAAAATTAATGTAACCGTAGAGTAACTCAGCCCAGAACAAAATTGAGATGAGAACTGAAGTCAGAGCCGGATGGGGGATCAGCAGATGGCCTAATGGTTATGTCACTGGACTCCCACGTAGTCTATCGCAGTTTGAATCCTGGACCCAGTGGTTTAAAAAACTCATGCCGGGCACGTGTGCATGTGTGCCCAAAATCCAGAGAGGTGGGGACCAGCAGTTAGTGTAATGGCTATGTCGCTGAACTCTCATGTAGCCGACTGCGGTTCAAGTCTTGGACCCAGTGGCTTAAAGTCACGCCAGCTGCGTGTGCGTGCGTGCCCAAGATGCCGAGAGGAGAATGGAGGAGAAGGGACTGCGGCGTGGCCATCCCCCCGGGGGATGATTTCTCGCTTTCTGTCTGTCTCTTTCTGTCTGGCGAGCGCATGCACCCTATAGCAGAAAACCTCTCCAAAAAAAAATCCTGAGAGGTGAATGGAGGAGAAAGGATTGCAGCAGCATGGCCATCCCCCCAGGGAGTGATTTCTCACTTTCTGTCTCTGTCTCTTTGGTGAATACACGTGCCCTATAGCAAAAAATCTTAAGGAAGTGAGCTGGATGCCACATGGTCGACCACACAGTTCGAGTCCTGGACCCTAGGGCTTGAGAAACATGCCCAGTGCATGTGCGTGGGTGCCCACAGTCCTGAAGGGAGGGAGGGAGAAGTGGATGAGAAGGGATGATAGCATGACCGCCCTGTGGGGGTGCTCCCCCATCTCTGGTAAGTGCACTTGTCCTCTAGCAAAAACAAAAATGTTTAAAGAATTTTAATGTTGAAAAGCATGATGTCATTCTTTTTTTTAGATCAAATAACCAAGTCTTACAAAAATTAATGTAACCGTAGAGTAACTCAGCCCAGAACAAAATTGAGATGAGAACTGAAGTCTTTTGAATTTTAATCGACCAGAGGTTCTGTGTGTTTCCTTTAAAAAATACATTTTTAAACAAAGAAAGTACTGGGACCAGCAGTTAGCATAATGGCTATGTTGCTGGACTCCCATGTAGTCAACTATGGTTCGAGTCCTGGACCCGGTGGCTTTAACTCACGCCGGGCGCGTGTGCGTGTGTGCCCAAGACCCCTAGAGGTGATTTCTCGCTTTCTGTCTCTGTCTGTCTGGCGAGCACACGCACCCTATAGCAAAAACCTCTCCAAAAAAAAAATAAATAAAAATAAAGTACCTCTAAAAGTGAAATTGGAGGACCAATTAATAAGCATTCCTTACCCCACAGCCCTTGAACTGTTAAATGAGTGGAGTGGTCAGGCCGTCTGGCTTCAGGGGTTAGCTCGTTTTCAGTCTGAAGTCAGGAGACTAAATGTACCCCCTGACTCGTTCTCTTGGAACATTTGTATCTAACGTAAAGCGTCTTAAAGTTGACACTTACTGATGCACCCCTCGGTGAGAGGCGGCTATTAACCGTACTTTGCTCCTGGCCAGATCTGGATGTGTGGAGGTCAGCTCTTCATCATCCCTTGCTCTAGAGTAGGACACATTTTCCGGAAAAGGCGACCGTACGGATCTCCTGAAGGCCAGGACACCATGACACACAACTCTCTGAGACTGGCACACGTCTGGCTGGATGAGTACAAGGTGAGACGGAGCTCGGGGTCCGAAGCACGGACAGGCGGGTCACTCCCTTCGGCTTGACTCTGGTTGCATCTCGCTCTGGTGTCCGTCGGCTCGACCTTCACTTGAGCGCCATCTGTCTGTCCGTGCCCGCAGAGCCCTCTGTAACCCAGCCCTGCCGCTCCCTCCACCCTCCGCAGTCCAGCACCTGCACCCCTCACGTCCTGCCGCTTTCTCTTCGCTCTCACTTTCTTTGTGGTGGTTCTGTCGAGGTGTTCTCTGTAGGCCGGTTCTGGAACATTAAATCCCCAGAAAGAAGTTCCGTGGCCTTCAACTCGCCTCCCCATCCCCCCCCAGGCCTGGACGTCTGCACAAGTGGAGTCGCGTGACTGTGGTCTCTCCTCTGGCTTCTCACTGGGCGCGATGTTTAGGCTTCCAGCCGTGGGGGCCATGCATCGGCACGCCATTCCTTCTCACTGCCGTGTGAATACACCACCTCTCCTCCATCGCAGCCACAGGGCATTTGGGTGGTTTCCGCTTTTTAACTATGGTAAAAAAAAAAATGCTGCTTTGAATATTTGTGTTCAGTAGCTGTTAGGGACCGCAGGTGAGTAGAGGAGTGCACGGTGGTTCCCAGCATGCAGAGGGCGGGCAGTGCCCCTCCCGGGCGTTACCTCCCCTCTGCCAGGCAGGGCTCCTTGAGCTCCACCTCCACATTCGTCCTCATTATCGCCCTCTGCCAGTGCTCTCAGAGCACGGTCCGCAGACCCACAGAGGTCCCCCAGGTGACAGGTGTCCTTGCAGGCTGATACAGGGCCCGCCCCCCTCACCATGCAATGGTGCCCGAGCAGTGGGGTGGGGGCTGGCATCACTGCATTCTCCCCCGCCGCTGCCACTCAGAGGTTAAAACAAAAATCCAGTTTCGGTTTAGAATGTGATGGGCGAGGCCCTAAGAATGGGTTGTATTAACTCTCAGAACGCTGGCCGCGGGGCCCCTCCCAGCACCTGGCGGCCGCCCACAGCACCGCGCGGGCTGGAGAGAGCACGTGTGCATGCTCGGAGTTGCGAGCTGAGGGAGACACTGTGTAAGGGAGTGACTCCCGAACCTTTGGTCATGTTTGGGTGTTTGGCAAACACCTCCACAGAGAACCAGATGGTGAAAATGAAAACAGCGGATCGTATTTGTGGCATGTGTTAACAGTTCAAGCTCTCGAGTTTAAAACCCGCTTCTACCACTGCGAGCCTGACAGCTGCCCAGGACGCACGGCTTCCCTGGTGGAGGCAGCCGCGGTATTTGTGGATGTAATCTTTTGATACTATGTGGTGAAATTGTTTAGTTTGGTAGAATTGCACAACCTAGTGGAATGAGTAATGCATAAGGTCCCCCAAAATCTCGCGTGGGTAAAAGATCCACTCAAAGAGCAAGAAAAACCAGCAGGTTTTAGTGGGGCAGTGTGGAATCCCAGCGAGGCCGCTGTGTGTACCATGTCATCCGTGAGGTTTGGTGTAGTAGCAACAAAAACCTGTAATTTCCTGTAACAGCTAGTAAGGCATTTTCCCCACTCTCAACTGCAAATGGTTGTGAGGTCATTTTTTTTTTTTTTTTTTTTTTTGAGAGGTTGGGCGATATGGTCAGGATAAGGGTGAGGGTTAGGGGTAGGGTTAGATCGAGGGTTAGGGGTGAGTGTTAGGGTCAGGGTTGGGGTTTGGGATAAGGTTTTGGTTAGGCTCGGGTTCAGGGTCAGAGTTTGAGGTTGAGGATTAGGGGCTAGGGTTAGGGTTACAGTAGGGTGAGTTATGGTTAGATTTAGGGTCAGTGCAAAGGTTAGGGGTGAGGTTTAGGGTTAGTTTTCTGGTTAGGTTGACGGTTTCCGTTAGTATTACAGTGTCTTACAATTTAAGATACATTTTCCTCTCATTGTCAGTGATAGGCTTAATTGTATGAAAAATTTCTATTGACATTGGGGCTAGCAGGTGGCATGATGGTTAAGGCTCTGATTCACACATGGCCTACCGCAGTTTGAGCCTCAGACCTAGTGACTTGAAAGTCATGCTGGACCCTGGAGGAGAGTGGAGGAGGGATCGCACCCGGGGCTGGTCTCTCACTTCCCTCTACTACCTCTCTGTGTCTCCAACAACACCTGTGGTGAGAACCTAAAAACGAAAAGCTTCATTGTTGCTGGCAACCTCAAGGAAACAGTAACTTGAAAAAGACTTTTCATGATCTGTTTCCGTTTTCTAAACTTGAAATATAACCGCGTGATACTCATTTTTGACCAGAAAATTTCCATGTCCCTCTTCTCCTTTTTCCAATTCAGGAGCAGTACTTCTCCTTAAGGCCCGATCTGAAGACCAGAAGCTATGGCAACATCAGCGAGCGTGTTGAGTTGAGGAAGAGGCTGGGCTGCAAATCATTTAAATGGTACCTGGACAATGTGTACCCGGAGATGCAGATACCCGGGCCCAACGCCAGGCCCCAGCAGCCCGTCTTCGTCCATCGAGGGCCCAAACGCCCCCGAGTCCTGCTGCGCGGACGGGTGAGAGCGCAGTGCGTCCGTGTTCTGTCCACATGGAGGTGGGTGTAGGTTCACCATGAGGTGCCCGTAAGCTGTAGCCTCAGTCTGGATTTAATGGTAGACGTTAGCTTGCCTTCCATTCTAGTCTCTACGGGAACTTCCTCTACACGGCAAGGTCTAGGACTTGAACTGTGGTTGACTACGTGGGAGGCCAGCAGCATAACCATTAGGCCGTCTGCTGGCCCCTACACTTCTGCTCTCAGTCCTCGAGCTTGCTGTAAGGTTTGGGGCGGTAATCCCCTTCGCCTCCTTCGTCCCCTGCGGCAGGTGTGTGCACTTGCACGTACAGCTGGGGTCTCTGGCCCTGCCTGCGTGTGTTCAGACTGCTAACCACGCCGTCCGCCTCCGTGTTGTTCTGAGGCCAGAACTCAGAAGCAGGCGGTCCTGACCTTTTTATGACGCTTGGTGTCAGCTCTGGGATGATGTTCTCACGTGTGCCCAGAGACCTGCTCTCATGCCGATTGTCACGCTCTCCTTTGCAGCTTTATCACCTGCAGACCAGCCGATGTCTGGTGGCCCAGGGACGCCCCAGTCAGAAGGGGGGCCTGGTAGTGCTGAAGGCCTGTGACTACGGTGACCCGAATCAGGTGAGTGACGCCTTGGGGCTCACGGCCAGGCCTTAGAAGGTGGGCAAGGTGGGACCCTACAAAGGAAGGCTGCCGGAAGTCATGCCTCAGGACACGGAAACGTGTGGTGACCTGACGTGGCTTTACCTGTGCGCTTTAAGTGAGAATGGCCTCAGGGATCACCGCAGGCGCTGCTTTCTCACCTGTCTCTCCTCGCTCGTGGTTAAGGTCGCATTTCAGTTATTTACAGCGCTGTTTGTCCTTGCCGGTGCTGTGTGAAATGAACTGTGGCCTCCAGTTCTGGAAGTTTGTTAGAAATGGCAGAGGAGGGGTGAGCAGATGGCGTAATGGCCATGTCGCTGGACTCCCATGTAGTCGACCACGGTTCAAGTCCTGGACCCGGTGGCTTAAACTCACGCCAGGCGCGTGTGCGTGCATGCCCAAGATCCCGAGAGGAGAATGGAGAAGGGATTGCGGCGTGACCATCTCCCCTGGGGGGTGATTTCTCTCTTTCTCTCTCTCTGTCTTTCTGGCGGGCGTACATGCCCTGTAGCAAGAACCTCTCCAAAAGGAATGGCAGAGGAAGGGCTCCTTCTTCCTGACAAGACCTTACATCTGTAGTAGGTGACGCAAGTCGTCCTTCGTGGAGACGTCTCTCGAGTCAGAGTCCCTGGTTTTCCAGTGGTTCCTCAGAGAAAACCGTATGAGTTTCAGTTCATTTCATTCACATAACTTATTGTCAGCTTATGGGTGTCTAAACGGCGTGTTTCAAATTGGCACTGTCATTTCAGACGGACTCATATCTGATAAAACAGTGTAACCTAATGGCAGTCCATAGCTGGTGATCAGGACACTCCTGTGTCACTCTGGAATGAGGACGAGCACTTGGGCTGCTGGGTAAATAGAGCGGACCTGACATTTCACACACGGGCCCTGGTGCTGCATGTTCTGGAAGGTGTGGTTGCAGCTGCTTTGGAGCTGTTCCTTAGACATGGCATGTTGTAGACCCTGAAGTACTAGAACTGTGGTGGCATTTCAGTGCTGTAAGTCACAGTGGCAAAAGATAATCAAAATTTGTGTCATAAAATGTGAGCAGTTTGGAGCGATGGAGATTTATTACCCTCATGTACTCGTTTGGGTCACACAGATGCGTGCTCATGTGTGACAGTCCCGCCCCTCCAGCCCTGCTGTCACGTTCCACGTGCCTCGGAGCCGCATGTGGCTCCCTGCTGGGCAGGGCGTAGGAACGGCCACACGCCCTTGCTTTCCGTTACCCGGGCCGGGGTATTCACGGAGACCACAGTCGTCCCGGGGGTCTCCAGGAGAGGCCGCAGTGTGTGACAGGAGGATGGAGCCTGTGCCTCTCCTGAGCTTCGCGGCCGTGCGTGCTGGGGTTACGGACTGCTCGCGCTCGCCATTCCCACCAGGTTCAGGCCTGTGCCCCTGAAAACGGTGAGGGACTGTGGAGACTCGGAAGGCAGATTTGCTTCCAGGGGAGATTATGTCGTCGCTCTCATCCCAGGCGTGCCCTGGTCTGGAGTGAGTTCAGCTCCCTGGGGCTGTGAGGGCTTGTGCACATCTGGCCAGCGGATGAGGCGCATATGAGGTGACTCGAAAGCATTTACAAGTGGTGGTAAAGTACATGTTCATTTTGGTATTAAAAACAGCTTGAAATTCAAGCATAAGTTTTTCATAATATTTATTTTCCACAAAGTTTTTTGAATAATCCTTGTATGAAAATAGGAGTCTTGCCATTTTCTGTCTACAGAAGGCAAGCCAGCAGCCCAGTTCTGACACATCTGGGAGCCAGAGAACTGTCTAGTTGAGACGCCGAGCTGGAAAGGACTTACTGTTACTTGTTCTGTTAGCTCCAGCGATGAGCAGAATTTGGCCGCAGCACAGCCCCTCGCTGTCCCCAGGTTGGGGGTGAGACCCGCTGCCCGCTCGCGCACTGCCTGGTCTGTCTGTCCCAGTCTGTATGGAGCAAGCCCGTTTTCCTTCCACCGACACAGGGAGCGTTTTGTCCTTGCTAAGCTCTGCACAGCTGGCCTCTGGCTGTTCCTTCCTTCCGTAGGTCTGGGTTTATAACGAGGAGCACGAACTGGTCCTAAATAACCTCCTGTGTCTGGACATGTCGGAAACTCGCTCCTCAGACCCACCACGACTGATGAAGTGCCACGGGTCCGGAGGGTCGCAGCAGTGGACCTTTGGGGTGAGGAGCCACTTGGTGTAAGCTCTGCACAGCTGGCCTCTGGCTGTTCCTTCCTTCCGTAGGTCTGGGTTTATAACGAGGAGCACGAACTGGTCCTAAATAACCTCCTGTGTCTGGACATGTCGGAAACTCGCTCCTCAGACCCACCACGACTGATGAAGTGCCACGGGTCCGGAGGGTCGCAGCAGTGGACCTTTGGGGTGAGGAGCCACTTGGTGATGTTGAGGGGACAGGCGGGGGGGGGGGCGGCAGGGCGGAGCCGCAGGCACGGCGGGGTTGCCCC